GTACCATCAATTGTCAATTTGCATTCTGTTGTTGCTTTTGCCACCTTATTCGAAGCCGAGCAAGTCACTGTTCCGTTTTTCTGAGCTTCGCGAATTGTCAGCCAGTAGTCGCCAAAACTGTCCGAAAACTCCGACTTGTTGTAGATCTCGGAATAGTTCAAGGACCATTTCACATGCGGAGGCGGGTTTCCGTCAATTTTTGCGTACATATGAACGTTTGTGCCCTCTTGAGCCGAAAAATCCGACGGCCGAATTACGAAACTCGGGCCTCGATCGCGAAGACTCAGCGACCTTGGGTCTCCGCGCCCTCGACTTTGAGAGCGACTTGGAACACCTCGCCCTCGGGAATCCGAACGTCCATTGTTCCGACCTCTAGATTGTGATCTAGGCCTGAGAGATGCTTGGCGCCATTGCGGGGTTCGCAAATTCGGGGTGGTTGGTGTCCCCAAAGTTAGAGATGCAAAATCTCTGGGTTTTCGGCCTTCGGGCATTTAAGCGTTGCCGAAGTTTTCGTTTCTATAGTAATAAATTTTCTAACTTTATTTTTATTATGCTTTATTGAAGTTCTGGACTCGATTTGTTTAATCATAAATTGGATTTTGTAATAAAGAAACTTTTCTTTTATCTAAGCTTGCTTTGATTATGGACGACTGTTTTGTATCAGATATGAGTTTGGAATGCTTTTAATCAATGCATGGTTTAAAGTATTGTTGTTGCAGCTGAATTTTTTCGGCCAAAAATGGCAAAGAAGTCATTATACTGTAAAAAATACAAAATGAGCATCAACTTAATTATATTCATGATTCAACTTTTGTAAGCAGTAAAATTATAAGCACGCCATTTGGTCACGGCGAATCTGAGCGCTTTGCATTTAGTGAACCAAAAATAATGATTGTAGAAAAAGTTATTATACTCTTAATCTGTGAAACCGAGATAATAAAAATTTTCAATAGACTACCAGTCTCAAAGTGTTGGTTACCTCGATGATAGATTGAAAAACTTCTGGTCTAGTCGCTTCAGAAAAATTATTAATAAAACACTCGAACTAATGCTTCGTGGTACATGGGAAACATAATTCGGGTCTACCTACCAATCACCCCTATAATATCTACTTAACAACCTCCCCTATGAAAAAATACAGCAAGTTAGCTCTGCAGTTTTTTATTGCGAGTTCTAATGTTGCTGCATTCTGATTGGTTGAAAATTCGACAGTTTTAATTTGCCTAACAATCTCCCCTCTTTCTTAAAGGGGGATTGTTAGGTAGATCCCATAATTCATACACAGAGGCGAAACGAAGAGTTGCACTGACTGCGATACGAAAATATAATCTATGTGAAACTTGATTATGAAAACTTAGGATTATGCAACCATGATTACGGAATCATCTGCCAAATTTTTTAAATCATTCAGTATATGCGCAAAGTTTGATCGAAATCAGTTGCCCGCATTATCACTGGAACAAATCAACGCTTTTTTTATTTCTAGTAGAAATGCTTAATTCAGACAAAAAATATATGCTGTAAAACTTTACCTAAAAATAAGCAGACCAAAAATATGATTGATCCCTGTTAATATATTTGCAGAATATCTTGTTCTTGCAAAACTAGAGCTTCTGTCGGGCTCTAGCTCCAGATCTTTTTCGTCCTAGAAATTAATGCTAACTACGCGCTAACTCTCAGCTAAGCGGACTTAAGTGATAAAAGGAACTGGAGATGCTAAGAAAGTGAACAAAATTTTGTGAAAAAAAGTTTAGCACCCTGTTGAGTTACGGACGAAAAAACTTGCTTACTGTTTTTGATTTATACTTTTTTGAGATGCTTAATTACTTGTTTATGGAATTGCGATCGGAGAAAATAAATGGTTTTTTGTCCCACATTTACTTCAAAAAAAAGAACCATGTACCAGGAGCAAAGCGAAAGGCGTAACTAAAATTTTCTACTACCGCTAAACAAAGATCGCTTACAGTTAAAAAATATTTTAAACCAAATGACTTGATACCTGTTATTATAGATGAAATGTCACAAAGTAGTTGATTGAGTTTCTATAAACAGTTTTTTCAAATTTATCTAAAAGACACTCAGTACCTCTATTAAGTTTTTTTTAACTTCAGCCCTTAAATAAATTTGTTTGTTCAGTTGATGCTGGCTGTCTTCTCTTTGCTCTCCAGGTTATCCTACTCGATGAGCAGCACTGCTCCTTCGGATCTCCCTCCTTAAACAATATATTGCTTTTGGCATTGTATATATAGCTGGTAAATACTTCAAACTTCAAAGTTTGAGTTTTCTTGTTAGTTGCAAAGAAAACAACGAAGCCAAACTACTCGCAAAAACGAAGCTACATTTTAAAAACAATTTCAGTTGTTCCCAGTCGACCCTTGAGATAAAGAAAGAACTTTACAATCTGGTGTAGCGCAACATCAGGGCACTAAGAATTTCAGATGGGATCGAGTAATATATCTTACTAAAGCCATTTTATTTAAACTGATTTTGTGAATTTCGAAAGATTTTTCCAGTGTAGCAAAACTTTTTGGTTTTTGTTGACAAAAAGCAAAAAATCACTCTACAAATTGAAGCATTTTATCTTTTGAAATTTTTTGAAATATTTTTATCAAAATAAGCAAAAAAAAATGGTAGCTCGACATACACTACACTTTGTTCATCTTTAGGCGCAAAGTTTGGTGTCTGTATGTTCCTGGATCCAAGAGACAAGACTTTGAACAGGCTCTAACAAGTAAGTGATTTCCTTCTACAAATTTTCTGCGGAGTCGTCATACACTTACTTTTGAAGCAAAATTTGTCGGCACATTAAACTTGCTGCCGATTCCGCAACAAGCCATGATAGCTAGTTGTTCAAGATTCCGCAATTCTAATTGGATCTCGTATAACTTTAAAGAGATTTTGCAAATGTAGGCGCATTCCACAATTAAAAATTGATCGTAGTTTCGTTTGTTATAATGAACTGAACCAGTCCTATCGTGAACAATTAAGAACTACAGCTAGAAATTTTATCTACCAAATGCAGAATTTATAAGCAAAGTTTCAATTTCTGTTAATGGAATCCAATAACAAATTTGAAATCACTGCCACCTAAAGTACGGACGTACCATTTACATGTTTTGAATAAACCCAATTTAATATTTAGCAGAATTATTAATCATGAAATAGTTTTTCTCATTTTGTTTTCAGACTTTCAGTTTTTGAGATCGGAAAGACGTTCATATGTTCAGTATTCGAGATCATAAAAGTGTTCTTTGATTCAGTATTTACGATTGGAAAAGTGTTCATCCCTCAGTATTTGAAGTTTGGCTGGTGAGCTCAAACTATTGACAAACGAGACTAAACTAATGGACAGCCTTGCTGATCTTCTAAAAACAGATTTAATTTCAAAAATGTAATTCAAGACGTAACGATACATGTTTCAGGAATCCGCAAACAAAACCTTAGAAAATAATAAGAAAATCCTAAAGAATACAAAGAAAGTTCTGATATTAAAGAATATAGAGTAATCTTTAAAAATTTAAGAAATATTTTTTCGCAAAAAAAATTGTGGTGTAACTTCTCTACTATTTGCACAGAAACTAGATTTCTATTTTATTTAAGTTGTAAAACAACGGCTTACGGTGTATTCCAAAAAGCTGCCCTTGATACCGACCAGCATATTTTAATTTGATTTGATTTTAATTTCATCCTTGAAATATTTTATAAATATTTAAAGAAGTGCTGTATGCCAGACTCATGATTTTTGCAGCAACCCAAAAACATCGATGTAACTTTTAAGTATTTTAATAGAACAGCATTCAAAACTGAGACCTTGGATTCTGGATTTTAATTTACTGGTGCTATTCCGTTTCACTTCGACCACTTACTCTATAGGGGTTGAGAATGAACTATGACATGGCATGGCTTTTTCGCCGAATTTAAAATACTTTAAAGAGATGTTGTAACACGTGAAACGGGATACCAGATTCGATCGGTAATTGTTGTTCTTCGAACTCCAACGAAAGTCTCAGTGTCAAGGACATAGATCCATTCTCAGACCAAGTTACAAGGAAAACAAACAGTATCTGGACACTTACTATCTTAAACCGATTACGACGTTCACGAAAAAAAATCATTATAAGCAATTGTAATCAAGCAAACAATAAAATGCTTTTCGTTTTCTACGCAAAATCAGGTGCCACAAATTGTTATCTGAATTGATCATGCGATATATCATATTAAAGCCCTTTCAAACCTGATTCGAACGACGTTACAAAATTTTTGACAGTGTCGAGAAAAACCGTTTTGAAATTTTCCATTTTTGGTCTCATTTCGAGCTAACATGGTATGAACGTGCAGGCTTACAATAGCTTATATAAGCTTATTTTAAGGCGTGAAGTTTTCGTTTTACTCAAATAAAAGTAGTTTTTGGAAATTTTAGCTCCATTTTGTAAACAAATGTTTCCAATGTTTTTTAAAATATCTATTTATATTTTTTTTTGTTTTTTTTTTGGCCAATTTTCTTCAAAAACTGTTTTCCGAACAGCCTTTCTACTATGACTGTCAAATGTGCTTTTTTTTCGTTCAGATCTTTTTATCATACCATGCGGGAAAAAAAACGACACTAATTTGAAACAAAATTGTTTTTGCATTTTTCTAAGACTGTGTTGGGATCATTTTGTGCTACTTGCACAGCAACCGGTTATCGTTGTTTTTTTATTTTTAATATTTTTATTTGAAAAAAATATTAAGTACCTACGGCGAAATACAAGGTATTTTTAGTTGAATTTTCAAGAGTTTTCAAGAAACTGAGCATGTCAGCGCAGCAGTAACTGCACAAGTTGCAACTAGTTGCAGCAGAGGTATTTTGTAAGAAAAGTTTTCTACGGAAAAAAAGTTTAGTTCCCGGTTACAAGTACACTTACTCTCGCAAATAAATCGTTATTGGTTTGACTATGTATGTGTTTGTTTGCTGGACAGTTGGTAATGGGTCTGAAATACATTGGATTGGGGGCTGTTTTTGTTGTTTCAATATGAGAAAATATTTATCTCGGAGCCCAGGGGTTCAAATTAGTTTTCAAGGTCATCATAGGAATCATATATGAGAAGATCCATTCGAAAGTCACCCAACTGATTTCGCGGAGAAACACATTACTGCTCCGTTTTACCTTGTAAATCAGTGCAGCATTTTGTTTCTGAGCGCCATCACTTGGGTTTTTTTTATTGGATCTTTTCATACATGGTTCCGATAGTGGTCTTAAAATTTGATTTTTGCCGGACGGATAGAAGTTCTGATATATGTGCATTCCATATTCATGTGCATTTTCACATATTCTTAGTTTGTTTTTAGATGATAAATATGGAATGTTTTCTCGGAGCTGACATGGAGTGTGCTTTGGGTCTGCATATTTAGACTTCGGAAAGGCGTCTTCAATTTCTTGTCAGTAATTTTTAGTTTGAGACAACCCTTCCCCTGGCGCTTGTTCTCACTAAGAGTACAAGCTGTCTCGAATTTGAGGAGAGACGTTTACAGGAAACACGGAAACAGAGTTTCAAATCTTTAAAGTTTTCTATAGCTTTTATCTTGTGTTGAGAGACTGGCACGTTGGGCTGGGCTAAGATTTAGATGTTGCCTCTTTAATTTCTTTGTTTTGCTCAATCAGAAATTGAGTCTTATGCAAAATTCTTCCGTGAAAACCTTTTATCATACAGTTCCATTGAATGGAAAAGTGCCTATCATACAGATCCATTCTGTGGAAAAAATGGTTATCAAGTGATTTTAAGACAGTTTTTTTTATTATATGGAATTGTATGGAATCGTATGAATGCCAAATTTTTCATAGCATGGAGTTGTATGATAAGCATTTTTTGTCAACCCGGGATGCTCTACTCTAAATTGATGAAAAATTACTTGGAGCCAAAGTTGCATCCCTTTTCATCTAAACCTCTGCCGAGGTAGGTTGTTAAATTTAACTTTGAAGGTTATATTGAACCCATTTGGGGAACCCATAGAGTTTCATGAAATACTTTGTCAAGAATTTATCCCTGGCACTCAATGGGTCCTGGAAATGGTCTAGTCCTGGAAACGGTCAAACCTTTGGTTAGGTAGTTCAAGTTTACGGCTTAGGGCTGTTAATTGAATTGGGCATCTGGGTCAAATAATGCATGTGATAGAGTTTAAACAACTAGGACATTCCGCTACGGTTCATTGGTTTCCGAGAACTTAGTTCGTCTATTTAATGGTCAATGTCACATGATATGCTGTCGGTGAGGTAATTTTGGTCACAAGACCAAGCCAATAAGAATAGTTCCGCTTGAAGCTACTTGTTCAATTTTCTCATAAAACTGAAACCTTCAGGGTTTTGATAGTTTTAGAACAATTGGCTCGTTTCGCTTTCGCTGTCAGAATTTCAAATGGTTGTCGTTGATTTATTTATCGGCTTCAGAATTTTGCTATTTGTAAATTTAATGTACGGCTTATTCCGAATCAAGAGGCGTGCAATTTGTTTATAGATTGAACTTCAGAAAAGAATGGTGTCTGTTTAAAAGTTACGGGCGGGTGTTTACATTAAGAAGTTCAAAATTCGCTATCACAACTGAGTACGTTAAATCTCCCCTGCTAAGCTTCAAAGTCAATATCAAAAACAAGTGTTTGAAGAATGTTCTCCAAGTAGTTCAAATTCTATACTGAAGACAATACTGCTACATTAAAACCGACCTGAGAATTAGCCGAAAAAAAACTTGCAAGTTTTCCGATAACTTTTTGGTTTTGCTATTATTCATAGATGAAATGATGCACAGATAGCAAACATTAACAAAAAACATTGTTCGAGAAAAAGCGTTGAAAAAATGCAGTCCTTGCTTCCCTCGCCATATAGTGCAAAAACTTTGAATTTGCTTTCTGAGAGCATGCATTTTTGGCCTAATAACTTGTCGGATGTTTAACTTTAAGAACAGCCCACACTTCGTTCTAATAAGCAAGTAAAGTTGAGATAACATTTGCGAATTAAATTGCAAGGGTTTATCGGACCGAACCGAAAACATTTGCTCCCGAATTCATTTCTTATCGATAGGTCAGCCCGAAGATAGGTCAGCCTTCTTGAGAAATAAAGTAAGTGTAGCTCCAGAAATAGCAAAAATAACTTCAGGAACCACATACATATCATGAACATTCTGAAAAGGTAGAGAGGGAAATAAACAATCAAGGTCGGATCAAATAAATAACCGAGGGTTCAGTTATTTGCAGACCTATAAAAATTAGTTTTGAATACACACCCCCGAAATGGACGATTTTTATTGGCTCCGGACAAACACACCAAGAAACTTGTAAACAGAAAACTATTTCAAAACCAAGAAAATCATTTTCACTATTTTGTTTCGCACTGCCGTCAGTCTTCAAATCTTCTGAATTTTTCTGAAAACTTTTGCAAAAAGGTAAAAATTTATTAATATTTTTCTGTTATTGCTTACTAAAAATATTTCAAAAAATGGTAATTCTGACTATTCATATGCTGAAAAAGGAATAGCTGTAGAAAATTCAATTAAGTTTTGCCAGATTTGAGGGAACTTCTTCCAAGAACTTTTTGAGAAATTTTCATTTTCGGTTCAGCTAAGTATTTTAGTGGACTTCACAGCTTCAATACTTTTTTGTTTCAGTTTTTTCACTTCTCCAATTCGACTCTAAAAACTTCAATTCAAAATGTCTGATTGGTCGCATCATTCTCAAAACGAATGGGGAGAGCAGTTTCCCATCTCGGTCAGGGGCAAACGCCAGAGTCCCATCGACATCCGGGTAGCAGACGCCACCAAAGAGGATAAAGCCCCTTTCAAACTGGAACTCCTGTCTGGAGATGTGAAAGCACATTGGACATTGTCAAACAATGGTCATACTATTGTGGTCAAGCCACCAGCAGGAGTCCAGTGGCAGCTTTCAGGCGGAGTCCTTGAAGGTACTCATTTTTGCGTACATCTCAAACTTCTGGACAATTAAACAAAATTGCTTCATTTTATAATTTTATTTTTTGGGGGGCTAAAACGTTTACCAAGCAAGCTTTTAATAAAAAAAAAACTGATAAACTGAAAGCTTAGCAAAAACATTCTATTTCTGGTTCAACCGTTATCAATTCAATCAAGAAGCACAACTTTTGAAAACTGCTTAAATGTATGTGAAACTATGTTAAGGTACCTATGTTCTGGATAGTTTCCACTCGCATTGGGGTCACGCCGCTGGACACGGATGTGAACACCTTCTGGACGGTCAGAAGTTTGATGGCGAGACTCATTTTGTGTTCAAACTGACTCCCGACATCGCGACAGTCGAGGACAAGTTCGTAGCCTACGGAATCATGATGATGGAGGCTCCCGAGACCCATCCTAAAGCCAAGGCTATCATCGACACTGTGGGAGCCAACTTGTCCAAGATCGTCGCTTGCGGCTCCTCGACTCAGATCCCAGGACTCGACTTGTCGGCGGTTGCTGAAACTAACAAGGGTAAAGAGTACTTCGCCTACAAGGGATCCTTGACCACACCTCCGTTCGCAGAGGCAGTGCTGCATGTTGTGTTCAAGGAACCCTTGCCGATTGCAAAATCAGTTTTCGATCAGTTGAGGAGTCTTGTTGACTCTGAGGGAAAGAAGTGCACTATCAACTACAGAGGAATTCAGCCTCTCATGGGACGAAAAATCCATCACTGCGTTGCATAAAAGTGAAAAAAGCAGAAAAGGGACCAAAACTAGTTGTAGATTGGTGTAAGATGAGGTGTAAATGTTGTAAAGAGAGAAAGTATTTACCTAACAATAAATTATATTCGTGATAACTAATATACAAAGAAAAGAATAGTTCATGCCTTCTTGTTTTGCTTCGTTGAAGAAAGTAGCTTATTCAAATTACTCAAAAAACTAAAAAAACTCGAAAGCTACGAAACGAAAAAACGAAAGATCAACAGTAAGCTCTTCATGAGGATTTGAATTATCAGCCATAAAAATCTAGATAAGAAGCCCTATTTGAGCGTTATTTACAACTGAAGACAAATTTAGTCATTTTCTAACTTTTTCGTTTCTTGCATTGTTTATGGCATTAGGGGTAAGCGCAGAAACTTTTCTAGGGGAGCATAGGGTATTTTGAAAAAATTTGTCGACCTTTTTTTGGTCGATCAATTTGATTTTCAGAGCTCGCCGAAAATACTATGAGGAGCCTATTTTTTCAAATTTTTCTTCACCGCAGGCATATTTTTAAAAGAAAAAAAACTGGCTAAAAATGAAGTTTTCAGCGTTTTTTTTAACCAAAAAATAGCTTTTTTTGGCCCGCGCTCCCACCTCAAATTTAATTATATTGGCGCCAAGGCGCCTTTAGAAATTTTTTGAGGCTGTCAGCCAAAACTGGATGTCACAAAATTACACCAAAGGGGGAATTATTGAAAAATTTTGACAACAGGAATTGAGGGGGAGGGCGGCAACAGCAATAAAAATCGGAATTGAGGGTACAACAACAATAAAAGGGCGACAAGAACAATAAAACCGGAATTGAAGGGGAGCGTGCAGCAACAACAATAAATACCGGAATTGAGGGGGGGGGGGGATTGCGGCAACCATAGTAAAAAAAAAATTATCAAAGCGGTCAGTCCTGAAAAAATTTTTGAGGCAAACTGATTTTAAACAGCTCATCATATCACATTCACAAGAAATTTCCATCACAAATTAAACAAATTTAAATCAAGTAACTGAGCCGACAGAAAAAAGTTCAATTTTTTAATTTGAATTTCAAAGAAACATTCAGCACTGAAGAAAACAAAATTGAAAAGAAAATGTTTGCTTGGCAAAGAAGACAGAATATTAGGACAAAGCTTTTATGTATTCAATTGAAGAAAGAAAAATTCAAACAAAAATTTGAAGTTTTTTGAATTTTTTGAAATGTTTTGTTCTTAAATTGGTTTGCGAGATAGAAATGATTTGGTGATTGAGTCAAATGAATCAGTTAATAATAGCTAAAATTAAGTTAAAATCACAGTAACTTGGATTAGTAATTCAGTTTCACTTTTTCTGTAAAATGAGTCTGAAAAATCAATAAAATAAAATTAAATTTGCTTTAATAGGCAACCACACATGACCTCTTTTAATCGAAAAATTTGATTTTTAGAGCTTGCCGAAAATACTATTAGGACCCCATTTTGTTATAAACTTTCAGCAAGCAAGTTTGATAAAAAAAAACAGGCCAAAAATGACGTTTTGGGCTATTTTGACAAAAAAAAACGAGACTTTGGTTTTTTTTTGCGCGCTACCCCCCCCTCCTCAAATTTAGTTAAATAACGTTTAAAAAACGTTTGAGGCTGTCAGCTAAAAATGAATGTCGTAAAGTTACACCAAAAGGGGGACCTTTGGAAAACTTTGACAGCCAGAATTGAGGGAAGGTGGTCGCCCCCACCAACCTCCTCCCTCGGCACCCTCTTGCCTTGCATCAACCAGAAACCTTTGTAAAAACAATAAAAACTATTATAACGGTCAATCCTGCAAAAAATTTGAAGCAAAATGATTTTAAACAGCTTATCAAATCACATTCACAACAGAACTACAGTCACAAATTAAACAAGGTTAAATGAGGTAATTGAGCCGATATAAGAGAAACCGACACCTTTCAATGAAACATTCAGCATTGAAGAACTCAAAATTGAAAAGAAGCCGTTTGTTGGCAAATAACAGAGAATATTACGACAAAGCCTAGTTTTATATTCAAATGAAGAAATAGAAGTTCAAACAGAAGTTTAAAATTTTTCGATATTTTAAATTGTTTTATTCTTAAGTGGGCTTGTGAGATAGAACTGAATTGGCGAACGTTCCACACAAATCAGTTAATAATAGCTAGAACAAAAAATTTTCTCTAAACTCGGATTAGTAATTCAGTTTCACTTTCCCAGTCTGAAAATAAGTCTGAAAAATCAATAATATGATATCACATTTGCTTTAATATGCAACCACACTTGACCTCTTACGAGTTTTCTTAGAGGATGTCAAATTGTGACCTTAAAAACACACCCTGCATCATTTTGGTTTCCAAACCTTCAAGGGGAAGGGGTATCGGAAAAAACAGCCAAGAGTACATTTTGTAGGGTAAAAATGTTTGAGCAATATTTAGTCAGAATGGTCACTGTTAGTTATCAAGCAAATCAAACGGAACACCGCTCTAAATTTTTCAAACAACGAGACAACGAGAATCAAAAACGTTCATACAATGAATAGGGAAACTGAGTTTTGGCAGGAGTTTTGAAAGCCTTTGACGCATATTTGAAGGACCGAAATCAATTGACCTATGGTGCTTGCGTCAAAATTCTCAGCATTAACAAGTAGTTTTCAAAATTGTTGACTTTATGGATCCCAACGTTTCTCTCTTTTCATCAACGACTTGCCCGATGTTCAAGTTTATTTCAAACGTGTTGATGATCAAACGTAAGTTTGACAAAATGAACGACAACTTATGTTATGTTGAGTGCTGAGTAGCCGATGAAGAATTGTTAGATACTACATTAACAAAAAGGCTTTGACATTAAATATAAATCAGATATCAAAAGATATTGGGTCGCCAAATAGGCTGACTGGTTAGATTATCATGCTTTAAAAATCAGACAAAAACGCGATTAGCAACCAGCTCTCGTGGAGCCTTACAAAAAAACACTGAATACTAGAACAACTGCGAACTAAATGCTTGAAGAATAATATTTAAAACACAGTTAAAAAACACCTAAAACACTACTGTAATTGATCCCTAAGATATCCAATGAAATATTAGCTTTCAAAATTCAAAAAGTAGACAGAGAGAACCTGAAACATTTTTGCTTTAGATGCGATGCGAACGGCTTAAATCTTTCATGAGAATTTGCCTACTAACTACCCCCATCTAAGAATAATGAAACAAAATCACTTATAATGGGTTTTTCTGGTCGAAAAGGTTATCATTATAATCGATTCCCATGTTGCCCTTAGACAACAAAATGGAATAAGAAAATTAATTTTTTTGATCAAATTTAAAAGTAACCAGAACCCCACCTGAACCGACTCCCCCTCCACATGAACCAACCACCCCCTCCCAGTGAACCAAACCCCCTCCCCCACACCTGAAGCAACCCCCTTCCCACTTGATACGACCCCCCACCTAAACCAACCCCTCACCAACAGAACCAGCCCCCTCCCCCTCCCGTGTTGTTGTATTGTAATTCCTGGTCCCCTTCCCTCCCGCAAGCTTTTCGACCATTTTTTTTTCAAAAATGGCATTTTTCCGGCGCGCGATCCCTTGATAAATTGGGGCACCTTCATTTTACCCCCTTTCCTTCCCTAAAGTTTCTAATTATTCCAAGAAAAAGTTGAAAGCAACAGAATTTAGTAATTGAGTAACAAAAAAGGACAAAAATCAATTTTGTGCAGAGAATAAGTTGAAATTGAACAAGTAACCAACTTAAGTTGAAAACGCAAAAAAAAGATTATGTGCGTTGATTTCTCAATAAGATGGAAAAATTCGATAATAATAAAATTTCTCTGTCTTCATCTAAAACAGTGGAAAAACATCGATTATAATTGATTTTCAATTTAAAGCTTTGCACAGAGGCGAAGTGGAGCTTCGCACCACTTGCGATACAGCACAAGCATTAAAAAAACTTAAATCGAAAAAAAAATTGAATTGGTAACTAGGCGAAACAAAATTTTTGTTGTCAATAAAAAACAACTAGGGCCACAGTTGAAGCTGGGGTACGTGTTTGATAATTTTTAAATTTGTTATACTGATGCGCATCGAAGTGTTTGCCCAAAACCTTTGTTGTTTCTCATCTAAAATCAGTGAGAAGAGTGAAAATTTTGAGATAACTAAGTTTTCCCAAGTACACATTTTTATTACAAAAAAGGAAGTCACCGCTTCTGAACGAAAATTCTTGCAGCATCTTCTTTCAATTGATTGAACCCAAAATCTCAGAATTGGGAGAGTAGTTCACGAGAACAGTCAAAAAGTTTAAAAAACGGTCAAAAAACCAAAACTTTGACTCTTCGATGGTCATAAGTTCTAGTGTCAAACAAATTTGGCATTGTTGCATGAATAAATGAGATTCCTACCACCCGATCTTCGAATTGAAGACAAAATCTCAGATATGACCGGGTAATTTTTGAGTAAAACTCAAAAAAAATTTAAAACTGTCAAAAAACCAAAATTTTGACTTTTCCGAAAGCGATAAATTTTTAGGTAAAAAAGTTTGGGCGTATCAGCTAAAAGGGGATTTTCCCACAGCCTGTTGTCTTCATTGAACCCACAATTTCAAATTTTGGAAAATACTGTTCGAGTAAATCTAAAAGTGTTCAAAAACGGTCAAAAATCAAAATGTTGACAGCTCTGAGTGCCTTACTTTTTTGTATCAAACAAACATGCGCAAAATAGCAGAAGCAATTGATCTTCCCACAACCCAATCTTCGAATTGAGACTAAAATCTCAGACATGGTCATGTAATTTTTGAGTGAACTCAAACAATTTTAAAAATAGTCAAAAATCAAAAATTTGATTTTTCCGAGAGCAATAACTTTTTTTGTAGAAAAAATTGAGCATAAGTTCTCATTTAGGGCAGTGTTTTGAATCCAACCTTTTTAGTGAAACAAAAAATTTAGATTTTGGAGGTGTAGTTTTTGAGAAAAAGATAACAAAAAACATGGACCAAATATTCCCCCATAGACTTTTTGGAAGGCTGTAGACCGGAGGGTAACGTAGAAAGAGACTAGAGCAATACGCAGGCTTACAAGGGAGTAGGCGTTCTTTCTTTTTTGACTCTTGTGTTGAAAATCAGTAGAAATTTGTTAGAAAAATTTTGCAAAAAAGTGGAAAATTT